AGTCAGCTATAACACAAGTCTTGTTCATTAGACTACATGCTGTACAGTATTTGTGGACAGATTTTGTCCCAGGATTTATTATGCATTTCTTCTTCTTCGTTGCATGATTTAGAATAATAAGGTGAGAAATGGGTCTATTCTGAGTTCATCCTGCACTGCAGCAGCTAATAAAGTCCATTTAATCCCAAAAACGCTTTTCTTTTAGGCAGGCTGGAGCAGAAAACAACTCACCTTTCTCAAGTTGTACAGTAATGTCACATGTGTATGAAGGTGGATCAAACAAGCTAATCTTAAATGTCAAAGTAGAGAGGAGCCTAGTAGGCCTATTTATTTTCATTCATTACACAATATGAATAAGCTATGCAGACAGTTGTAAAGAAAGAACATCTTTTTCTTCTGTTCTCTACTTGTTATAGTTACACAGTATTAGGGGTGTGGGCTGTATTAAAAGTATCCACTGTTCTCCCATGCTCTAACACACAGTAACGATGAAATGTGTGCTGTTCTCACATTCTTCCTCTGTATGTACACATAAACAACAAGGCAGGGAAATATAAAAGGAATTTATTTTATTGTTTGGGTACATTATTGTTCAGTGTACATGCTCACATCTGAAACAAACTTTACGCGCTTGATAACTCTCCCACCCCGCAGACATCTACACACCAATACCGATTTATATTCATAGCGGCAAGTGCTATGTAACTCCACATAGGGGACACAGGAAGTGACATATAACACCTTCATGCGGCGTCATAACCGCATAACAAATTCACAGCCGCACCGGCAGAGCTCGAGAATATGCAACTCGGCCTGCTCACAAGCGGACGCGCTTACAAGTGCGAGGGCCCGCCCAACGCTGCTTGCAGCTTTAATTTTTCTTTCTTTCTTTCTTTTTTCTGCAAAGCAACCTCAATTCTGGGGGCCTAAACATACACGAAAACTCACCAAACTTTGCACATAATTCAGGCATGGCGAAAAATTTTGTATTTTATGGGTTTCGTGCATGGGCTTGCTAGCGCCCCCTACAGAGCAGCCCCTGGGCAAAGTTTCACCTGCGTGTACAAAATTTCTGTGGTACGTGTATCATGTCCAGACGTACAAAAAAGCCTCTTGGAGCCATTGCCTAAACCCAACAGGAAGTCGGCCATTTTGGATTTAATGGTCATTTTTGGCGATTTACACACTTACTTTAACAAACTCTTCCTAGGGATTTAGTCCGATTGACTTCAAATTTTCGCTGTGCAGTCTAAACCCATTGACGATTAAAAGACGTACAGACAGTTATTATCAGTTAACCAGTTTGGCGAGCTGTCAAAAATCGATGATTCGCCATTTAACAGGAAGTTGTTATAACTTCAATCTACATGCTCACATCTGCACCAAATTTTATATGTATAATAGGAGTCCCGCCCTGAACACATCAATACGCCAGTATTCACTCAAATTCATAGCGCCACCTGCTGGCAACAGGAAATGACACAATTTACGCTGTAATGTACTACTCCTAGAAGACTGGACATATCAACTTCAAAAATGTCCCAGAAAACGCTTGACACATTGATGAGGCCATGTTGTAAAACTTGTGAGTTTTCGGTTAAGGGCGTGGCCGTGTCGTGGCAGCTTCCACGCTTCGCCATGACACCGGAAGTTGTAACTGTAACTCGACTGTACATGCTCAGATCTGTACAAAGTTTTCCACATTTGATAAGAGTTACACCCCTGAACACATGTACAGTATATGCCAACATACACCCATAGTCATAATGCCACCTGCTGGCAACAGGAAGTGACTTTTAACGAAGCAGCCCCCGCCACACGTTTCACCTACATGTATGAAATTTCTGTGTTCAGACGTACCAAAAAGCCTCTTGGAGCGATGCCCTAATCCCAACAGGAGGTCGGCCATTTTGAATGTCATGGTCACTTTTTGGATGATTTACACACTTTAACGAACTCCTGCTAGAGAATTAGTCTGACCGATTTCAGATTTTCGCTGTCTAGTCTAATCCCACTGACAATTAAAATTTGTACAGTGAGTTTCGTGAAACGGCGTTCTCGTGGCGTGGCGTCCAAAATCGATGATTCGCCCTGAAAGAGTAAGTTGTTGTAACTTCAGTGTACATGCTCACATCTGCACCAAACTTTACTTGCTTGATAACAGTTCCGCCCCCAACACATCTACATGTTCAGTTATAGTCATAGTGCGAAGTGCTATGTAGCGCCACAAAGGGGACACAAGGGGAAGGGGAAGTGATGATAAACACCTTAGTGCAGCATCCGAATCGCGTGGCAAATTCACAGCCACACTGGCAGAGCTCCAGAATCTGCAACGTGGCCGCCTCACACCTCGACACTCTACACGTGCGGGGGCCTGCCCAACGCTGCTTGCAGCTTTATTGGGGTTCAAACCGCGAAGCGGTAGAACCCATCTATGTTTGTCTGTTTTAGTTACAGCTCAAATTCCCGTGAGCTGGAATGAGCTAGAAACATGAAACTTGGGGGAATAACTGGAAATGGTGTGCATGTGCTTCCACAGAAATATAAACCCAATCAGCCAAATGGTGGCACAGTAAATAAGGCTTAAAAATGCAAACTTTGAAAGGCCACACCCCTCACGCCGTAAGTCTGATTGACATGAAATTTTTCACACAGGTCCAGCTCAATGTGCTCTACAAAAAAGCCTCGAGGACCATTAAGGTCCGCCAAGAAAAATTTTCCGCCATTTTGAATTTTTTGAAAAATACATTTTTGACATCTCCTCCTAGACCACTCCGATTGCCACCAAATTTTCAGTGAATCATCATTGGATCAAGCCTATTAAAAGTTGTATAAAGCACATGTGATGTACATACGCCACTAGGGGGCGCTACAAGCACAAGAAAGGTGCTTAGCATTACACAAATTTCACAATAAATCACATATTCATTCTCCAATCATCACAAATCTTTTAGGATATGTCCTCATAAGTAACTGAAACATGCCCTGAAAGTTTTATTCAAATTGAACACCAGGGGGCGCTATAAATGCAAACAAACTGCAGGTGATATAACGCAAATCAGGCTACAAAACACAAATTGTTTGTCCAATCAACACAAAACTTCCAGGAAATGTCTACATAAAGACCTCACACATACACTGCAAGTCTTGTTCAAATCGACCACTAGGAGGCGCTATAAATGCTGGATAATAACTGGATGTGGAATTATAGAAATTAAGCTATTGATTAGAAAATGCCTGTTTAATCGTTACAAAACTTGCAGGATGTGTTTCACAACAATGTTAAACCACATGTATGATATTATTTAAGTCCCTAGTGCGAAAAAAGGTTTGAGCCCGTGAATTGCTGCTTGCAGCTATATCATGTGTGTATTATATGTCTTTGTTCCTTTGTCTGTGCTGGAATCCCTTTAAGAACTTGGGGGCTTTATCCAGATTATTATTAAATTGGTTAAATCTTAATAAGAGTGTGTTTATTCATATAGTGTGTCAAGCTGAGACCCATGGGACCTTTAAAATCCTTGCCATGTCCCTGTTCAGCACTATTCTTTTGGCTTCTTACCACTATGGCATGTACATACTATCAATTTATAACCAATATATTAGTCTTAAAAATCTTGGGTGTTTGCAAATCAAACGCAAATCTCACATGAATAGTAATAGCACATTATTAATACCACAGAATAATAGCACCAGCACACCCATACCCAGACCAAACATCCACAGCAACACTCAATGATATCGTGTGCTTCTAAACTGCCAAATTCTTTTGCTCTGAGACTTTCCAAAGAATGGGAGAGACTTGTTGAAAAATGGCCACACTCCCAGTAATTAATTCACTTTCTTGCTAGCTGCTTTATTGGCAGCACACTGAAAGAAGAAGCAAGAGAAAAGCGCCTTGCCAAAACGTGTATAAGGCATCCAGTCCACCACTGATCAGGCATCAACTGGACGGGAGCCAAACAGAGAGCAGGAGAGGGAATGCTCCAGCCTATAAAGCTGATCAAGATTGTATTTATTCACCTTAAAGTGAATTTTCAGTATGACTGGGTTGCAAACACCCTAATACCTAATCTCAAGTTGCGTGAAACAAAAAACGTGATCGAAATATAAAGAGCAAGCAAATCCTCTGATCAAATCCAGCACTGCCCCAATACCAGGGGGAGGATTTAACTTGTTTTATTAACCTCCACTTGATCTCTTTGACCCATGAGTTAATCTCTGATTCAGTAATCATAACAAAATATTTTGTTCAATCTATCTTTGAAGTATCTAGTACATATTCTGTAATTTGAGGTGAAAAGGTGCCACATGTACATTTATAGAGGTTACTTCCTAAAAACAAAGGCACCAAAGGCCTGCATGTATGCTGACTAAGCAGGGATGATCTTTGATGAGAAAAGTTGATCGATAGGAGAAACATATTTTTATGTATAAAATTAAGTGTTTAATGTTCAAAATATTCATATAATTCAGCATTGAAGACTTCTTAAAAATAGTGTTAAAATCTTGTCTCATCTCATGAATTCAATATCATGTCTGGTCTCTCGTCTCGTTAACTAAGAGTCTTGTCCCATCCCTAGTAATAAGCATTGGTTGATTAGGGTGGGAGCACTGTAATTGCCATGATCTTATGGATGAAGAAATTGAGCCTTGAACCTTGCACTTATAGACAACAATCACTGGATTACTTTTAATATGAGAAACACTGAAAAATGATCATTATGAAGCAAGATCTGAAACTATGAAATGCACTCTTGATGAGCTAATTTATTCTCAATTGATAGCGTAAAGTGGAAGTTGTACTGATTCCATCAGTATGTATTTTAATCAGATTGTCTGGGTGATGAATCTAGGAAGAAGGGGAGCAATTTTAGATGCAAATGCAAATGCTAAGGGTTATGTATCTCATATAGTGTTTGAATTGATTATCATACAAATGATGGCTTTGCATGAATAAAAACACTAGAAAGATAAGGACAAAGGAAGAGAGCACTCACCCTGTTTTAGCAAAGTTTGTCCAGTAAGTCATGACGACGGCACTCAGCATCACATCATTCTTGGAGAAGTTGCAGTTGAAGAGATCTGTGGGGCCAATCATGGGGATTCCAAACACGTACGGTACTTCATCACCGTGGGCTGAGTCGGCCCAACTGGGCTTCATGTCGCTCTGACAGTGATGGTAGAAAGCGTAGAAATAGGTGGGCGAGCCATACTGGGCATGGAGGTCAGCTGTAGCCACAGCTGGCGCCACCCACTGGTGGTCAGTGAACAGAGCCACCAGGGTCTTGCGCCGGGTCTCTGGGTTCTCCTTGTCTGCCCAATCTGTGTACATGAATTTGATGGTCTCACGCAGAGTGTCCTTGCCCTCTGGGTAGCCATAGAGATGATCCACAAAGTCTGACACAGCAAAATCAAAATCATTGGCAGATACCCCGTCCTCACTGTCAACGATGCCATCTACGAATTTAAACCCCTCACCCTGATTGACGCCCAGCATGATATCGTAGTTAAGGAACTCTCCTTGCTCCATGAGGATCTGGGGGTCATCCGGGATGACATCCCCATCAATCACAGGCCCGAAGGCTATGTGGTACTTTGCAGGTGTGATGTACTGCTCAATCAGCTCCTTGTAATTCTTGTTCTGCAGGCACTCTACCAGGTCAATGGTGTCCAGCATGTTGCAGCCCACCTTTTCAGCCAGGGCTCGCGTGTACTTGGCAGGTTGGTAGTTGACCGCCCAGCTGGATAGTGCTGTGCCACTCTGGATGATAGCTTTCTGGAACAGATCTGAGATTGGAGCTGGTATTAGTAGAACACACACATAGGCACCCACAGAAATGCTTGTAGCAAAGATTTTATGCTTCATGTTAGGTAAAATGCATAATTTTTCTGCTTGGAAACAGTTATGTTGTATTCTGTGTTTAATGTCAATGTGATTTTTACCATTTTTTATCATTAAAAGAATGTAAAAATGGTCTTTGGAGCCATATCAGAAATGTTCCTTTCAACATCTGAAGGTTTGTGTCTGATAGTTAAGTCCTGACAGGCTGAGCGCTGACCGGAAAACAGACGGACAATGTGAACAAGCTTGTGCTGTAGCTTATAACTGAGCAGACAGTTTTGAGGAATAAGGACCACACCAGCATGTAACCTGACCAAAATGACATTTGCAGATACGTTTTTAAAATATTTTATGTGCTACAGCTGACTAGCTAATTAACAATCTAGCATGCAAACTGGTGTCTCAGTAGCTGTCTGGCTGATTGTCTGTGTGATCGTCTTCCTGTGATAGTACAGTAACATTGCATACAGTTTAAAATTAAATGGTTTATTGGGAATTGGTAAAATATTATTTCAAATTTATGGGTACTGAATGATTAACCACAAATATATCAATATCAACTTCTGCTTCCACAGTAAAGAAGCACCACTGCAATCATATAGATATATATTTTGAAGTATACATGAAGTGGCACGGTATCAATAGTAGCTTTATGCAATATTTGCTCATTGCAGCAAATGAATTTAGCACAACAGAAAACGGTGTGATCAGTTTTGGCTTATTAAGGTTCCACTTAATGGAGTAACCTATTCATGTGTATCATGGACAATTCTGTTCCAACAAATCATATGAGGGCATCCCTACCTTGGTAGTTATCCTCAAAAAATGTATACCGTATTCAGTCTTGTTTAATCTACACATATCACTGAGAGAAGCCCAGTCAAACACATATTCTTAACCTCTATCTCTTGTCATACCAGGAAAAAAACATTTCAAGGCAAATAAAAGGATGATTGTGTCCCTAATGAACAAATCACAATACTGCTGCCACAGTATTGCTGCCACAATACACTAGAACAGAGGTCACTAATAGGTGGACCGCGGTCCGGATCCGGACCTAGCCGCTGTCCTCTCCGGACCGCCGACCTACAGCCGATTTATTATTGAGACTTACTACCTCTTGATGGAGCATTTCTATTTTAACCAGCTTTTCTAGCATTTACTGTACTAGTTTAGCCGACCAGGAAACTCACAGATCAATCGCATGTGCTCCAATCGTCTCATGTGACGCTGCTCAGCCAATCAAATCTGTGCATTCCTATGCTTGCGAGTCGAGTCCGCGAGATTCACCAGAGACGTTTTGGAAACACACACGAATTGAGGAGACGAAAGGGAAAAGACATGGCTTTTAATCAAGAATGTACAGATTCTTACATGTACATTCCTCCCACGGGCAGTTCAAAACCAGAGTATCTCATAGACCTCCAATGCTAGCTGGCAGGACAAACTAGAGCTCACGTTTCTCACTGAACAAGAGAAAGTATGAAAGTGGTAGCTCTGTAAGAGGAAATGAAAGAGAAGAGGAGGCATTACAGCTGTTCATTTGCTATGATATGTTGAGTGTTTATTATAAAATTGGTTAAGACTACACTTTTTCAACAAAATTAGGCACTTTATTTTAGTTAAAATTAGAAATTATTATTAGAGTAGTTATTATTTATTATCCATTCAATTCAATTCAATTTTATTTATATAGCGCCAAATCACAACAACAGTTATCTCACAGCGCTTTTCATAAAAGAGCAGGTCTAGACCGTACTCGTACTATGATGCTATTTACAGAAGCCCAACAGTTCCCACCAAGAGCAAGCACTAGGCGACAGAGGCAAGGAAAAACTTCCTTTTAAGAGGCAGAAACCTCGAGCAGAACCATGGCTCAGGGTGGGCGGCCATCTGCCTCGACCGGTTGGGGTGAGAGAGAGAGAGAGAGAGAGAGAGAGAGAGAGAGAGAGAGAGAGAGAGAGAGAGATGCCTCGACCGGTTGGGGTGAGAGAGAGAGAGAGAGAGAGAGGAGGCAGCCTACACAATATACACATAGAGGTACAGACAGTAAAGGTGATGTTGCTATAGACTAAATGAAAAATGGTACAGATATTTATAGTAGTGTTAATGGTAACAGTCGTAATGTTAATGATTATAATAACAATAGGACTAGTAACAATAGGACTAGTAACAATAGTCGTTGCAGCAGAGGGTGTCGAGCAGGAACACGGGGGCAGCAGGTGACCCGCAGCCACAGATCCAGACTCCACAGCTCCAGAGCCAGAAAACCTGCAGGAAGCGATAGGAGGAGAGAGGACAGGGACGAGAAAGCACAAGACTACCAGAAAGGGGAGAAGTTGTGTTAGTAACATGCAATAATGGGATGAGGTTGCATACAGAGGGAGAGAAAGTAGAGGAGAGAGGAGCTCAGTGCATCATAGGAAATCCCCCAGCAGTCTAGGCCTATAGCAGCATAACTAAGGGATGGTTCAGGACTCACCTGAGCCAGCCCTAACTATAAGCTTTATCAAAGAGGAAAGTCTTAAGCCTACTCTTAAATGTGGAGATGGTGTCTGCCTCCTGAACCCAAACTGGAACGTGGTTCCACAGGAGAGGAGCTTGATAGCTGAATGCTCTGGCTCCAAGTCTACTTTTGGAGACTCTAGGAACCACAAGTAACCCTGCATTCTGGGAGCGCAGTGCTCTGGTGGGGTAGTAAGGTACTATGAGCTCTTTAAGATAAGATGGTGCCTGACCATGAAGAGCTTTGTAGGTAAGAAGAATGATTTTAAATTCTATTCTGGATTTTACTGGAAGCCAATGCAAAGAAGCTAAAACAGGAGAAATGTGATCTCTTTTCCTGGTTCCTGTCAGAACACGTGCAGCAGCATTCTGGATCAGCTGAAGAGTCTTAACGGACTTTTTCGAGCAGCCTAATAATAAGGAATTGCAGTAATCCAGCCTAGAAGTAACAAATGCATGGACTAGTTTTTCTGCATCATTTTTAGACAGGATGTTCCTGATTTCCGCAATATTACGTAGGTGGAAAAAGGCGGTCCTTGAAATTTGCTTAATGTGAGACTTAAACGACATGTCCTGATCAAAGATAACTCCAAGATTCCTCACAGTGGTGCTGGAGGCCAGGGCGATGCCATCCAGGGAAACTATATCTTTAGATAATGCGTCACGGAGGTGCTTAGGCCCCAGAGCAATAACTTCAGTTTTATCTGAGTTTAACATTAGAAAATTACAGGTCATCCAGGTTTTAACATCCTGAAGGCACATTTGAAGTTTAGCTAAGTGATGAGTTTCATCTGGCTTGATCGATAGATATAACTGAGTATCATCTGCATAACAATGAAAGCTTATGGAATGTTTCCTGATAATATTGCCTAAGGGAAGCATATATAAAGTGAAGAGGATTGGTCCGAGGACAGATCCTTGAGGAACTCCATGACTAACTTTGGCATGCATGGAGGACTCATCGTTAACATGTACAAACTGAAATCGATCTGATAAATAGGACTTAAACCAGCTTAGAGCGGTTCCTTTAATGCCAATGAAATATTCCAGTCTCTGCAATAGGATCTGATGGTCAATGGTATCAAATGCAGCACTAAGATCTAATAAAACCAGTACAGAGACAAGTCCTTTGTCTGATGCAATAAGGAGGTCGTTAGTAATTTTCACCAGTGCTGTCTCTGTGCTATGATGAGCTCTAAATCCTGACTGAAAATCCTCAAATAAACTATTGCTCTGTAGAAAGTCACACAGCTGTTTAGCAACTGCTTTCTCCAGAACCTTAGAGAGAAATGGAAGGTTAGATATAGGTCTATAGTTGGCTAAAACATCCGGATCAAGTTTGGGCTTTTTCAGAAGAGGTTTAATTACAGCTACTTTAAAGTACTGTGGTACATAGCCTGTTGATAGAGATAGATTGATCATATCTAGTATAGAGGTGCTGACTAAGGGTAAAACATCTTTAAGCAACCTAGTCGGGATGGGGTCAGGTTGATGGTTTAGATGAAGAAATTATTGAAGTTAGTTGGTAAAGATTGAGGGAAGCAAAACAGTCTAAACATATATCTGGTTCTACAGCTGTTTCTAAGGTTCCTGAGCTAAGAGATAAGTCGGTGCCAGTTGAGGGCAGGTCTTGGTGAATTATGTCTCTAATAGCTAGAATTTTATCATTAAAGAAGCTCATGAAGTCGTAACTACTGAGAGCTATGGGAATACTTGGCTCAATAGAGCTGTGACTCTCTGTCAGCCTGGCTACAGTGCTGAAAAGAAACTTGGGGTTGTTCCTATTTTCCTCTATTAATGACGAGTAGTACGCTGCTCTAGCATTACGGAGGGCCTTCCTATAAGTTTTAAGACTGTCTTGCCAAATTAAACAAGAATTTTCCACTTTGTTGGAACGCCAATTCCTCTCAAGTTTCCGCGATATTTGCTTTAATTTGCGAGTTTCAGTATTATACCACGGAGCTAACCGTCTTTGTTTTAGTATTTTCTTTTTTAGAGGGGCTTCAGAGTCCAGTGTCATTCGCAGCGAGCCTGCAGCACTATCAACAAGATGATCGATTTGGGAGGGACTGAAATTAGCATAGGAGTCCTCCGTTACTTTGTGACTAGATAATGTATTTAGAGCTGATGGAATCGCATCCTTAAATTTAGCTACAGCACTATCAGACAGACATCTTGTATAGAAATTTTTGCCCAATGGTGTGTAGTTCAGCAATACAAACTCAAAAGTTATCAAACAGTGGTCGGATAAAGAGGGATTCTGTGGGAACACTATTAAATGTTCAATTTCAATACCATACACCAAAACAAGGTCGAGGGTGTGGTTAAAACAGTGAGTCGGTTCATGAACACTCTGAGAGAAGCCAATGGAATCTACCAGAGAGATAAACGCAGTACTAAAGCTGTCATTCTCAACGTCCACATGAATATTAAAATCTCC